CTATGAAATTTTCTTGCACGAGTTTTTGCACACATGTGAAGGAGGATCTACAAAAATACACGTGACAACCCCAAGCTCAAGGGATTGAGGTGGCTAACCAAACAACTCACATTTAGTCTTAAAATCTCTTCTCCTTTTGGAAAATTGCAAATTTTTTCTTGGACTAAAATCTTCTAACTCTTGTTTGAATTTATCCTCTCAACTTTTCAAAGAATTCCAACTTAAACAGGAACTAATTGGAATTGGAATGTTCCAATTACAAAATCATGTTTTTCTTGCACTTTTCTTTCCAGTTTCCACTTTCCATTTTAGTCTACAAATTAATATTTTACTTCATTCTTGTGTTTGTATCTGCATTGTCATTTTTTTTAAAACAAAAATCCTGAGAGTCAATTCTGATTTCCTACTCTTTAAGACCTCTGTTTCTCATTCTTCTGAAATTTCACCGTTTGTCTAGCCAACTGTTATTTTTCTTCTAAAATGAGGAAAACATAGAATTAAAAAAAAAAAAAAAAATCTTTAACATTAAGGAAAAAGGAAGATTTCATCTAGAATCAAGAAAATGGGTAGTTTCAGGTTAAATTACATGGTGTTTTATTCTCAGATGTTGTAATTAAGTTGGTTTTATCTATCAAAAAGAACAACGAAACAGAAGAACAAACTAATCCTCAAATGCAGGGGAGAAACAGTTATTCAGCCCGTATACCATGAAATTGAGGTGGAAAAAAAAAGAAAAGAAAAAAGACTAATAATAACCCTTAATTGGGCTCCTGAATCTCAATAATGGGTACTCTTAATTTCTGGTGATGATCCTAACACACTGGCAAATCCGGTGGTGGTTCCTCAATGGATTCCATAATTCCGATTCCGTTCTCCACCAGGAAAGCCATGGCCAGACCCCAGCTGATATGAGCATCCAAGTGACAGTGCATTATCCACACACCTAGTAATGAGATTTCAATGTTAAAACCAATGAATTCGTTAAGAAATTGGAAATGATTGCTAGTTTATCGAATTATTTACCTGGGTTATCGGCGACGAATCGAATGACTGACCATCCATTCACGGGCACGGAGGCGGTATTCCGGAGAGGTGGGTCGACGAGATTGAACTTGGCGGTATCTTTTTTGGGATCGAAGTTTCCGAAGCCCTGTGCTATGATGTAGAAATCGTATCCGTGGAGATGGATGGGGTGGTTTTCAGGGGTTACAATGCTTGTGCCCTGTAAAACAATCTGTACCCTGGATCCGAACTTCAATCTGTAGAGCTTGGTCCCTGAAAGAGGTTGAAACAGAGACTGGCTCACATTTCCGGTGTAATCAAATTGCACCAGAGGCTTTTCCGGAAAATCTGTGGTGAAGACCCTGGGAATGCCCTGATGGTGAGCTTGTAACAGGGAGAAGTTGGAGGGGAGAACGAAGGAGACATTGTTCATGCTGGAAGTGAATCGGGTGCCACTGGGTCCCTGACACCGGCTGGAGGGGAAATTTGGCGGACAGTTGTTGAGTCCAAGACCCACCGTGATGAAGAGGTTCTCGTCGATTTCGGTCGGGACCTCAACTTGCTGGGGGCTCCGGAAGCTTTGGGTGAAGGTCATGGCGGTGTTGGTGTCGTTGAAAGCCGGAATTGTGGGCATAACGGGTTTAACTCCCAGGCCTTTAACAGGGCAAGGGGCGGACTTGTATTCCAGAATGGCCGTGGTGGTTGTATTGTCAAACGGTGCGTTTTGGGCGCTTTGGTAGGGGCTTCCGGCAATGTAATACCGAGATGGAGGCTGGTCTCCGGTGATCAGGACATCGGTGGTCTGGCCTGGACCGAGCATGATGACATTCGTGGTGAAGGGCTTTAAGTAGGAGGCATCAGCACCGACTACCGTCATCATGTGGTTGGCGATGGTGAAGAAGAGTTCCTGGTTCATTCCGGCGTTGATGACCCTGATGAGATTGGTTTCTCCAGAGTCTATTGGAACTATTACAGTGTCTGTACAGGGAAAAAACATGTTCGGTCGTATCACTATAAAAAAATTGTCCTTATCATAGGTAGGTTTTTCAAGACAAGAATGAGACCAAAAGCCTCAAGACAAACCTTGGCTGGAGCAATTGTAAAGGTCACCAGGTTGACTATTGATTGTATAAGCATCGGAAATATTCGGTGCTCCTCCGGTCTGGATGGCCTCCCTTATGACATCGATCGGGTTTGCATTCCACCATTCAGCTAAACATTATTGACATATAAGTCAGTTTTATTTTCATTTATTGAACAATTGTGATTCATCTTGGTAAAATTCATCAACTTTTTCATACCAAGAAGAAGTGTTGTTTCACGCTTTGGCTTAGGGAAAGGGTAGGAAGATCCTTCCTTTGGATGGATGATGAGAGCACCGTAGACGGTGGCTCTGAGCCAAGAGCTGTGAGCATGCCACCACAGTGTGCCTTCTTGGCCTTGAACCGTATACCTGTAGGTGTAACTATCTCCAGGACGGATGGGACACTGTGTCACAAATTCTGGACCATCTGCCCACCCAGTTCTAATTTGCCGGATACCATGCCTGTAAAAATATATTAACGTTATGAAGATTGCATGAGAAATTAAATTAAGCTAACATTGCATGGGTGCGGGAAACATTACCAATGGATGGTGGCATTATATTGACATTTGTTAATGACTTTGATGACCAAAGTGTCTCCATTGTTTGCTTCCAGGGTTGGCCCTGGAAACATCCCGTTAACAGTGATAGCATTCTGTGTCATGCACAGCCTCTTCACTGGTGTTGCTTGTAGCTGTTTTCATTCAAACATATCTGAGTTAACAATTCTAAATGAAATATATACTAACTGAATTACTGGGGGAATTAAAGGAGAGAAGAAGAAAACATACAACAAATTCATGGTAATGGGTTTGGGGTTCTGCTAATGACACTGAAGATGCAACAAGAAGCATGAGAAGGCCAAGCACGATAGTAAATGTAATGTTGCTAAGTCCCTCCATGGTTTTTCACTCCAAATACCTAGACTTTGGATTTGAGGAAACAAATGTGAGTGAGATGGGAGGAGAATGGTGTTTTTATAGGAAAATTGGATTTGGGGGGGAGGAAAAAGAGGCAGAGTGTTGCACATTGAGGTTGGCAGATTAGGTTTTAATTCAGCAAACAAAGCTCAGATTCCTGAGCAAACTTAGTTGAACCCTATTAAGAGTAGTTGCACCCACTGGCTAATCAAAGAAAAAATTATCTCTTTCATTTTCTTGAATGCTTGCTACACAAGTCTTTCTACGGATCGATTTTCAGCAAATCATCATCATTATGAAGATTTTGTAGACAACAAATTGTCTTGTTTCTTGAAATTTTTTAAGTCAAATTGGGATTATTCTACTGCTTTTTGAATTTATTCTTAATTTACATTTTAAGAATTTTAGAATAAGCATATTGGTCCAAGGCTAGAAGAAAGACAACCCATAATGGTCAAAACTCTTAGTTTTTCTAGCCAAACCAAGACATTCATGTGGGAACGATGTCTTTTTGACAAACAAAAGTTACTTTTTCTTACAAGCCAGAGTTTCCCTGCCTTGAAATGGTCCGGTCATGCCAACTATCTTTCAAACATTCTTCTTGTTAATTACATTAATCATGAACTTGTTACGCGTTAAATGCAGTTTTCTTTGCTTGTAACAAACTAACAATCATGCATTCACTCATTTCCTAGACGCAGTATTTGAAATTATGATCAAGAAAACTTTGAACCATTGTGCTTGATAGATTGGTATCTGTAAAGAAAACATATCATTTTCTTTGAAGTTTTAATTGATGTGCCTTAAAAGTCCATGATTTGTTAGAAAAGCAAGTTGAAATCTAATTACTAATTTTTTTTTTATATTAATCTTCGATATCCGATAACCACATTGGATATCGACTAATCCGAAATCAAGTCGCGTCGGACTTTAATAGAAAAGCTCTCCGAGCGTCTGTTTCTCCATTTACAAAATTTGAACTCGATAACTTATAATTTAAAAGGAATTGAGTTCCTTTCATTCGAACCAATATATATATTGTTAGTATCTAATTACTAAATGTTTAATGGCTATGGAGCTTTTTTCCTCACAAATAAATGCGAATTTTCTTTTTGGTGAAAAGGCAGATACGAGCATAAAAGACTCACATGCGCAACTTGATTAATCAAAGATTAATTTAATTAATCTTTCTAACTCAGACTTATTCAAAATCATCCTTTCTATGATAAAATCAGGAAGATCACTGCTCATTATTGGCATGTACACATGGCACAACTCAATTGGATGCGATCAATTAATTGATTTTTAAACGTGGAAGAAATCCCCATGGAAGAAACACACAGGCTAAAAGACTAAAAGTCCACTTTTATTTGGTGAGATGCTTTTATGAATTAGTATAACTTAAAGATAACTATAGCAATAAATTTTGATTGAGTCTGTCCACTGGTACCATCTCAACAAGATTTCAGTTAGATACTTAATCGGGTAATGCTGGAATTTATTATAATTAAATTAGGTAGCTTCTTTTACAAACAAATTGTATGATCTGTACAGGCAGAATCTGTAATGCCTCCGGCTCCTCATGCCATGTCTGTATGTAGGATGAACTAAAAAACAACTCCAGTTGATTATATTTTCTATATGATCAAGTTAATTTGGTTCATTCTTTATATTTTGGTAAATTTTCTTTGATTTGTGAAATCACATACTTATTCTAGTAACAAAAATTCGAGTAGGGCACTTTCTAGGATTTCATTTCGGCCTGAAACTTGAAACTATGACATTGTATTCATACTTGTTTCGTGCAAGATCCTATACATGAATGCTTGAATTTCATGCACCTTAGGTTATACAGAAACGTGAGAGACTATTTACAAAATTATCTTAAGTCACAAGGAAAATAACGTATTCTTGGAGGCCTAGTGTTTTTTTTTGAAAATAGGTAATGGATTGGAGCCCTAGTGTTTGTACCAATAGCTATAGCTAGAGACAAGAGCAACATATGGTCCATGATGATTTAAGTGAAAGCAGTTAGTCTCTTCAGATGGAAGGATATTAAACGGGGTTAGGAGATAGGTGACCCAGAAAAAAAAAAGAGAAAAAAGAAAAAGAAAAAGGAAATAACAAGTTGGCAAATGTTTGTTGCAGACTTATGGAGAATCTTCGGAGGGAAAAAGTCAACTACATGAGAGGCCGTTATAAGTATAAAATGAAAGAAAAATTTATTGGGAAGAGCTGAAGGTTCCTTGTCAAACCTCTTCTTCTCATACCATTTGTCTTCTACTATTTGTTTGGATTTTCTTACTCTCTTGGGCATTTGTTTTCTTGGGGTTTCATTTTCATTGGTGGTTACAGGTTGGTCTGAACTTAAAGCATGTTAATTCTATCATGTGCGTCTTAATCCTGATATTAATGTTATGGATTCCACATTCAATAGGGTTAAACATCTATCAAACCATTTGAAGCAACAGTTGATAAAGGTTCTAGGGTTCAAGTCCATGTATCTCTAACACGAATCTATTCTGACCCTAGCTCCCTTTGACTTAATAGGCTTTAGGATCCGTTTGTATAGCCGTTTAGGGATAATTGTAGGAAATTTTGTCCAAATCACTAAAAATTAATGTTTAGTAAACTTATTTATTTTGAAACTATTATAAATTAAATATTTGATAAAACCTTTTATTTAATTATTTGAGGCTAGTAGACAGTAATTAAAGTTTAAATTATTAGTAGATTGAAAAAGCTACATAAAATAGTTTTTTTTATACAAAACCACTAATAGATAAAAAATTTTTAATTTTATTGATAAATTTATCATTTTCAACTTTTAAATTTTTGGTTATAGTTTCTAATTGGTATTTATTTGATTAGTTTCAACTTTATTTTTTGTTTTTAATGATATTAAGTGATTATTATATTTTTATTTTTACATTAATTTATCATTAAAAAAACATATTAGCTTAATAAATAAATTTTGTTAATTAGACGAAAAGATTAAATTTTTTTACACTTTATTTAAAACTAATATAATTTTTTCTTTATTAAAAATAAAAATTAATGTGTGATTATACTATTATAATTTATTTTATTTATTTTGTTATTATTATAAAATTAATAATTTTAACAATAAAAATATATAAAAAATATACTTATTTATTCTTAAATATATTTTTATTAGTTATTTAACTTTAAATAATAATTATTAATTATTGTATATCTAAACATTTACATTAATTAAATTCATTACCTTGTATTCATTAGGTACTTTTCACTATTTATCTCTTACTATATATTAACTATCACTCACTATTTAATACCGCTATCTATTACATGCTACTACCACCGGTTATTTACTACTTCCACTTAATTGTAATTGTGATAGCAAAACATGATGCTTTATTTAGATTTAAAAAATGGGATTTCAATCTAGACTAACAAAGTAATTTGTGAAGTAGTGTTATAAGAATAATTTTTTATATTATTTTTTAATATAATTTTTATATATTATTAAATAAATAAATATATTTAATATTATAAATTTTATATAAATAAAAAAAATAAATTATTTAAATAACATGTAAAATTATAAAATAAATTATTTTAAAGTTATTTCCCTAATTTGTCAGGCTTGAAAGGTCATTTTCACTCTTAATGAGGGCCCATACTAGTCCTTTTTTACCTCATTAAGGGCAAAAGGGTCTGTTCGAGCCTTGACTAGCCAATTTCTTTTCCATTTCATAATGAATTCCCCTTTGCCCACTTTCCTCCAGATATGCTTTTTTTACCCTTATTAAGGGCAACCTCTGACTAGCAAATTTCTTTGCCGGTTCAAACTAAATGCTCCCTACCTCTTGAATTTTTTACTAATGAAGTTTATGCTCATTCCCTAGTCCCAACTCTCAAGTGACAACTAGCAATTAATCTAAATGCTCAATAAACAAGAATATAGCCCTTTAACCACCTTTGGGACTTCATCCCATAAAATGCATCATATTGATAAGTTGAAATTTTTTAGATATTAATGTAGAATTTCTACTTTAGTATTATTGAAAATTAGATGAATTTTACATCATTTTCATTTTTTTTTATAGAATGAAACTTAATCAAGAGAAATTATAACTTTTAAAATCAAATGGTAGATATCAGAAACATGAGAATTAAGTTATGCAGAATCCAAAAGTTAATTGCTTTAAAGGCCAAAATTCCCAATGCGGTTGTCCAATGTATATAAAATTTAGTGAAGGTGTCGGCACCTTGTTTTGGTATCGACCCCTTGGGCAATTTTAGTAACTGCACAGCAGCCCTATTATTTTGGTGTGGATCTCCCTTCTATTTTACTTTAGTTTTCTAAAATTCTATAAATGCTAATTTAAGTTCGGAATTGAGAGAGTTTTTAGGTGAAGGCTTGGGTAGCTCTTCTTGAGGCACTCTTGAAAATTAAAATATAGGAGGTAATAAAAAAGTCATTAATAAAATTTTAATTTTTTCAAATTTAGTTTTATTTTTTAAAAATTATTTTTATTTGTTCATCGATATTCTT